GTCCTGCCTTAACCATGGGGATGAGCTCCAAGACCCCAGCCAATGCCTGAAACTGTGGATAGCACTGAACATGATATATACTGTTTTTTCCTGTATATACATACATACCTTTTCACTTAAAGGAAGCACTTTACAGCTTTTTTTTTTTTTTTAATTTTGTTTTTTATCCTCACCCAAGGACATTTTTTTCCATTTTTTGTTCAGATAGAGTGGGAGGGAGAGAGAGAGAGAGAAACATCGATGTGAAAGGGGACACATCGAGTGGTTGCCCCCACCACGACCCAACCAGGGCCGGGAACAAACTGCAACCGAGGTCCGCCCCTTAGCGGGAACCGAACCCGGGTCTCTATGGACTGGAGGCCGACGCTCCAACCACTGAGCCAAACCGGCCAGGGCTACAGCTTCACTGCCAGCATCACCACCCTAGCACTTTGGGGCCATTATTAAGTAAAATAAGGGTGACTTGAACACAAGCACTGCGATTCCATGACAGTCGATCTGATAACTGAGATGGCCACTAAGTGACTGATGGGTGAGCAAATACAGCGTGGAAACTCTGGACAAAGGGATGATCCACATCCCAGGTGGACGGAGTGGGACAGAGTGAGATTTCATCATGCTACTAAGAATGGCATGTAAGTTAAAACATATGAATTGCTTGTTTCTGGAATTTTCCATTGAATATTTTCAGACTACTGTTGACGGGGGTAATTGAAACTGTGGAAAGCAAAATAGTGGATAAGGGGGGACCACTGTACTCAGTTTGAACCTTGCTCCCTACCTGGTCTGGATCTCTGGGCACTGACATCTGAAGGATCTGCTGGAATTCTGCCCTCTGTCCCTCCCCCTCCCCCACTGGGTCTTCCACTAGAGTCTGAGCTCAGGTCATTTTCTGGATTCACATTCCCTAGTTTGTTCTCGGGACTCCTGGGTTGCCTGTGCTCTCATATATTAGGCCAACCACCCCAGACTCCTGCCCCTTCTGATCTGTTCCAGGCTCCTGCTTCCCACCGCCCACCTCTGACAGGACCCTAAGCGGGTAGACACAGGGCTGTCAGTTTTAACTGATGGAAAAGGTCAGTGAGCTTTGGTGGGGAAGATGAAGAGGGGTGTAAGGGAACAGGGGTTAATATACCTGCATCTGTCTCTCTTTCTAATAGGACTAAAAATGCAGCCCCCCCCCCCACACACACAGTGATTTTTAAAATGGCAGGAGAGATTTTTTTTGTGTCTTTACTCCTCTCCAGAGAAAAACAGAAAAAGTAACCTTTTCCAGACTACCACATCTCTAAATATATCAAATTCTAACTTTATAAGCACACTAAATTGTACATGATGAATGTTTATTTCCCAAGCCGAGAGACAGAGAAAGAGAAGAGAGTTTGGTTCTTATAAAATTATAAAAATTACATTATAAAAATTACAGGGCATTATAAAAATTACATTTTGCATATTTTATCATATTTCCCATAATATCTATTCCCCCCCCCCAAAAAAAAGAGTTCCATTTCTAACCACTGTGACTTCAAAATATCTGGAATTCTATGCTTCCAAATGGGAATCTCCAGGTAGGTAGAAAACAATATAAGAACATCTAGAGAGGCCCTGATTGGTGTGGCTCAGTGTTTAGAGTATCAGCCTGAGTACTGAAGGGTCATGGGTTCAATTCCCAGTCAAGGGCACATACCTGGGTGGTAGGTTCAATTCCTGGGCCCAGGCACATTCCGGAGGCAACCAATCGATGTGTCTCTCTCACATCGATGTTTTTCTCTCTCTCTCTCTCTCTCTCTCCCCCTCCTTCTCTCTCCTCCACTCTCTCTAAAAACCAGTGGAAAAAATATCCTCTGGTGAGGATTAGCAATAACAATAACAAATACCTAGGCAGAAGATCTTAGGGGTTCTGGAAAAATTAAGCCTTTCTTTGGTTAAGATCTTTAGTTTTTAAATATCCAATAATTTAAAATCAAGAACACAGAAGGTCTGAATTTCTCATTCTTTCTATATTGTTGAGTTAATATAGACACTATCTTCTTTCTATCTCATTCTCTCCCTCTCTGTTTTTCTTTGCCTGTGACCCTTGCTCTGATCCACTGCCTTTCTCTCTGGATCTAGGTTCATCTTTGCTGCTCTATTTTCAATCTTTTTTTTTTTAAATCCTCACCCAAGGATATTTTCCCATTTGTCTTCAGATAGAGCAGGAGGGAGGAAGGGAGAGAGAGGACAGAAACATCAATGTGATAGAGATACATCAATTGATTGCTTCCCACACAACCCCAGTTGGTGGACGAACTGTAACTGAGGTACGTGCTCTTCCTTGGCTGGAATCGAACCTGGGACTCTTTGGTCCACGGGCCGATGCTTTAACCGCTGAGCCAAACCAGCCAGGGTTCTATTTTCAATCTTATAAGTCATCCCACTTGTGTCCCATAGGGCAAATGTGGTTCCAATGGCCTGGTTGGGCGAGAGAAGGCAGGCAACCTCACTTGGCTATTGGATTTCTTTTATGAAGCCAAATTTAGATATTGAGCAAAAATACAAGACACTCCCACTACCCCGTAACCAATTGTGTGTCTGCTCAACAGTCTGCTCAGGACACAGGACTTCTTTATCTTTGATGGAGCCTTGGAACAAAGTATCTCCCTAAAGAGATGTAGTTTCTCCATTTAAAACAATACTTGGATTTAGTTGTACCTTTTGGGCGCTTATTTTGTACCTGATAATAGGGACACATAGAAACAAGATAGTTCTTGCAAGAAGTTCAGTCTACACCATGAGTGGACCTCGAGGACATTATGCTAAGTGAAATAAGCCAGTGACAAAAAGACAAATACTGTGTGATCCCACTTCCATGACAGAATAGAGAATGATGGTTGCCATGGGCTGGGGGGTGGGGGAACTGGCAGTTATTGTTTAATGGGGACAAAGTGTTAGTTTGAAAAGATGAAGAAGTTCTGAAGGTGGATGGTGGTGATGGTCTCGTAACAATGTGGATGTGCTTAATGCTCCTGAGCTGTACCCTTTCAAGTGATTGAAATGGTAAATTTCATACTCTGTGTATTTTATCACAATTAAAAATAAATTTTAAAAAAGTTTATAGTCTAGTAAGAGTTATCCATATGCTTATAGACTTATACTTAAAAAAAGGAATTAGAGATCTCTCAGCCCAGTGTTCCTCAAAACTTTTTCTTATTGGGATCCACAATAAAGAACTACATTTCATATTTTGATTCAGTAAATATATGTCATGATACTGATATATGCATATATTCACTGATATATACACATATGTACAGACAGATTTACACATAAATGTATACATAACTGAAAATATATAACTAGAAAATGGTACAGGAAACATTATTTACTCTACTACATGGGATAAGTTCTGACTTTTATTTACATGGTGTTATCCCATTTTATTTAAAAATGCCATTTACAATCCACAAATTGATTTCACAATCCTCTAATGGGTCTCAATTTACAGTTTGAAAAACATTAATCTAGACCAGGCTCCAACACAATGCAGAAATCTCCTCTACAGTGACCCTGCTGGGTGGTAATCCAACTTCCACTTGAATGCTTTACATGATGGGGAACTCATTCCCTACAATGCTGTATGATGGATCCATCTAGCAATTAAAGATCCTCACCCACTCCAAACCTGTCCCAGAAAAGCTGGGACCCACTGCCAGGTGCTCAGGTACTGATGATTGTAAGTGGGCTTCAAGGAGAGGTGACATAGTTCCAGAAAGCAAGGTGGGAGTCTGGGGGGTAGCTGAGTAGAGGGGCGTTGGCTGGCCCTAGAGGACAGAGCAGGGTCTCTGAGATTCAAGCTCCGCTGCCCAGACCTTCCGCCTCTGCCTCCTCACAGCTCCAGCACTACAATTATTTCCTCATCTAACAGATGATCTCATTCCCCCGGCACCCTGACTCCCTGCCTGTGGGAGGGGTTTCCTCCCCCTACAGGGGGCCTCAGCCTCAGTAGAGACAGTTTTCCCCACCTTTCCTCTCAACCTCCCACCCTCCCTACAGGACTCCAGCAGGCCACCGCTGCCCATCCCTCCTGCCATTCTCTTGATCTTGAAACATGGGGTATCCCTGCCCCGGTATTCAGACATGGGCTGCCTGAATACTTCTGAGCCCCTCAACGGGTTCTGGAGACCTGCCCTTTTCCAGGACAATGGGGCTCCTCCACACCGGACTGTGTCATCCCGAGAGGAATAAAACAAAGACAGCACCACCACGTGGGGATAGCTGGCTGCTGGACATCAAATCCTGGGTCCTGCATGAGAAGCAGACAGTGTCTAAACTCCAGGCGAGGGTGGTGGGCTGAATGAGGAGGGGCCTGGCTCGGCCACAAACGGGGACCAGGGCGTGGCAGCTGTGGTCCCCGCAGTTCGCAGCTTTACGGCCAGTCACCCTGCCCAGGTAGGATCAGGTTGACCTCAGGGTAGGGCGGGGCAAGGAAGAGGTGGTGATCTCATTGTATCTTTAGAACCAAGAGGAAAAAGTAACTCAGTGCCCAGAGAGGAGAAAGAAAGGGATGATACAAAGGGAAAGGGAGAGGAGAAAAAGCTGGGGCTGAGAAAGGGAATTTAAACACAGGTCAGCTTCTAGCTTGAAAAGGGTCTGGGGGTCAGAACCAGCTCCAGGGAAGGTGGACCCTGAGCAAGATCTTTCTCCTCAGCAACACAACATTTTTTATGCAGGAAAAAAACTCACCACGGACATCTAACCCGGGCAATTCCCGCCCACCCTCTCTCCTGAGCTCCAGAATGGAAGGAGCGCCTGCAGCCCACCCTCACCCCTCTGCTGAGGCTGAGGCCGTTCTTTTCTCCTCACCCAATTTCTCCCTGGATCTGACAAAGTTTGACTGAGTGGAACCAAAAGGCAACACAATAGGTGCCAGACTCCTTGCTGCTTTTCCTCTTTGAAGCTGCTGCTTTTCTTTTTCTTTTATCTGAAAAGCCTCAAATAATTTGCATTTCATTTCTACTTACCTGCAGTCCAGTTAGAAGCGAGCTGCTCCCTTCCTCACTCCCTCAATTAGTGGTACCCAGGGCTTCTCTCCACATCAGCACCACTGCTCAGCTCTCGCCATGACATCACCTCCGAGCCCTCTGATTGGCCAGCAGTGGGTTGCTTGGCAATTGGACAGTCTCCTCCGGTGGAGCAGGGATTGCCTGAGTGAGTAACTCTTAGCAGGCCAGGGAGTGGAAGATGATGTCAGACAAATAGCCTGCTTTCCATGCAGCCTGTAGAGTTGGGGAACCAGAGGGTAGGGTGGGGATGAAGAAAAAAGGGGGAGTGGTGCGGGAAGGTGGGGGTGAGCAAGAGCACCTGGAGAGGGGGAATGATGAATGATTTCCAGAATCTTTAGCTCTTTCAGGTCTGGGGGTGGGAGAATATGGAATCTAGAGAACTCAGAAAGCACATATGAACCCTAAAAATAGCTTCCCAGAGGGTTTGGTGCCTGTTTCCATCTCTGTCAGAAGGGCTGGTGGGTTTGAACAGTGACTCAGAAAGCAAGGAGGAATGGCAGGCACCCCAGACCCGGGGGGCGGGGATGATGCACACAGGGGTCCCAGGAGAGCAGGGCTTCCCTCTCACCACCTTGCTGCGGAGTTGGCCCCTGTGCTGTGGCTACCTGACCAGAGCTGGTGGGACCTCACTGCCCTGCCAGCCCACGTGGGCCTCCCATAGGGTCCTCCTGAGCTTCCTGATCAGGACTGAAGCTGAGGGTCATCACTATCCCGGGGGATTCCTAAATGAGAACCTTGAGGGGAGGCAATGGGTCATCCAAGGTGGCTTCTTAGTTCCCTAAGGGAATGGGGGCCCGGGAGCCCCTGATGTAACCTTCTCAACCTGCTCCCCCTCAGTAAGGCAGCTGGAGGTGGCAGGGTGAGGCAGTGGAGGGCATGATAGCCTGTGGAGCGAGCCCCCCTTCTTCTGAATGCTTCTCCCTGTCAAACTTCCCTGGGTGTGTCTTCCATCCACCCCCCTGGAACCCATGGCAGGTGCAGACTGCTCCACCACCCAATCTTGCCTCGGCCCTTTCTGCTGGGGAGGTAGGGAATGGGAAATAAATATTTTATTGTAGTAAAATACACATCACATAAAATTTATTATTTTAACCATTTTAAGTGCACAGCTCAGTGGCATTAAGCACCTTCACAATTCTGTGCTCCATCACCACCGGAGCTTTTTCCCAAGCTGAAACTCTGTCCCCATTAAACACTGACTCCCCATTCCCTCTCCCTATCCCCTCCCAAACTTTAATCTACTTTTTGTCTCAATGAATTTGCCTGTTCTAGCAAATTCATTACCTCATGTATTACCTCATGTAAGTGGATTCATACAATCTTTGTCCTTTTGTGTCTGGCTTATGTCACTGAGCATCATGTCCTCAAGGTTCATCCACACCATAGCATGTATCAGAATTCTGTGGCCTCATTCTGTTCAAGGAGGGTTTGTTCAACTGCAGTCAATTTCATGGACCCTCACCCTCTGCCACCACGCCCCTGCTATGAGAATATGCATAATGACAAAAGGTTACTTTGAATGCAGCCCATGCTTTTAAATTATGTTCTTAAACCACAAGAGCACCAATAAGCATTTGCACACTGCGGTCCATGCATGTATAAGACCTGTCATGCGGTCACCCTGCAGATGGCTGAGGAAGCAGTAGGTTCTCGGACCTGGCCTGCACCCCACAGCTGGGATCCACTGGCTGGGGTCTCACTCCCAGTGCCCCGTGTGGCTCATCAGGCAAGGAGAGCACCGTTAAGCTGCCCCCTCTTGCCCACCATGCCCAGAAGTGGCCAGAATAACAAATGCCCCGACAGCCTTTGGAGGCCTCAGAGCTCACCCATTCTGGGCTCTCCGGTCATCCCCCAGCAGTGCTGTAAGGCCAGCAGCAGGAACCCGTTCTGATTGAACAACAGGCTTATCATGCCTGCCACATGCCACTAAGCCGGCCCAGTTCAGAGGGAATCAGGTGTGCCTAAGGACATCAGAATGGCTTCTCAACATGGAGAGACAATGGAAGCCACGCTGTACTCCAGGCTGGAATCGGAATCCAGGCAAAGCTGACTGGTGGGCTGCCTTTGCAGTCAGGGAAGCCTCTCTCCCCTCCCCCACCCCTCTTTCCTCTTCCCTCCCAGCACTAAGAAGTCTGGAACTCCACAAATCTGCCGGCTCTGGAAAGTGAGGGGATGGGGGAGGAGACAGTGAGTTGCCATGGTGATGGCAGCCAATGAGAGGTCCTGTGCTACTAGGGGAGAGGAGCACTCTGTCTGCATCCCCCTAACTGACTGATAGGAGGATGGGGCTGGGCACAGGGTGGGGGGATGAACAGGACAGGACATCATGACTGAAAACAGAAACCATGGTGAGGGGCAAAGGGTAATGGGAAGGGCTGGCCCATTTCTAGAATTAGCTAGCTACCACCTGAGTACTAAGCCATGATGGGAGATAGATGGAGATATATATATATATCATTTTTTCCCGCAATGTTGTGCTGCTATCACCACCATCCAGAACTTTTCATCTTCCCAAACTGAAACTATGTACTGATGAAACAAGAACTCTTAGAGCCAACTGGACAGTCACCTTAGGGACTGTCCACAAACTTTTGCTCTCTTTCTGGACCTCAGGAAATACGGTCCTAGCCATACACAGGAATTCAGAATATTGAAACACTGCATGTGTATCTTCTTCATTCTCACTGATGTGGTTTTTAAAAATTATATAATGCAAATGGGCATTTATTATCCGCCTTTATTTTAGGAGGAGACTAAAGCTTGGGGGATATTTTTCTGTATAATGTGTTGAATTGAACATTGTCAGGTATTTTCTTAAAACAAATAAAATGTGTGCACTATGCAATGTTCTTTAACTGTGAATGTTGTTATTTCACTTGACATTTTATGACTTCTGCACTCTTGTGACATCAGTGGCTTAGATATTTTTTTAATCAATGGAAACACAAACTCAGTCAGTTTGAATTTAGGCAGTGCTGCACTGCTGGAACTATTTGTTTATAAACTAAAATGTAATGGTAGTTAATAATTAGAACAATAAGATATGATGTTTATGCACTGGCTGGTTTGGCTCAGCGGTTAGAGTGTCAGCCTGTGGACCAATGAGTCGCGGGTTTGATTTCAGTCAAGGGCACATACCTTGGTTGTGGTTCGTCCCAGGCCCTGGTCTGGCCTTATGTGGGAGGCAACCAATCAGTGGTTCTCTCTCTCATCGATGTTTCTCTCTCTCTCTCTGCACCCCGCCCCTCATCACTTCCACTCTTTAAAAAAAAAAAATCAATGGAAAAAATATCCTTGGGTGAGGATTAACAAAAAACAAAATTTACAGTAAAAAAACACACGCACCCCAAATAGAAAATGGGCAAAGATATGAAGAGACATTCCATCAATGAGGACATACAGACAACAAATATGCACATGAAAGAAAAAATTTAACGTTACTAGCAATTTAAAAAAAAGCAATTTAAGATGACAATGAACCCTGGCCAGTGTGGTTCAGTTGGTTAGAGCGCTGTCCTGTGCACTGAAGGGTCATGGGTTCGATTCCTGATAGGGCACATAACCAGGTTTTGGGTTTGATGCCCAGTTGGGTGTGTATGAAAGGCAACTGATTGATAGTTTCTCTCACATCTAGGTTTCTCTCTTTACCTCTCCCTCCCTCTCTCTCTCAAATCAATAAAAACATATCCTTGAGTGAGGATTAAAACGTATTCTCAAAATGACAAAATCATAGATGGAAAACAGATTAGAAGTTGCCAGGGATTAGGAATAATGAGAGGAGGGGTGACTATATAGGGATAGCAATAAAATCTTTATAGCATACATTGTACCAATGTCAATTTCCTGGTTTGATATAGTACTAGTGTTATGGAAATCATAACCATGCAGGAAACAGTGAAGGGTACATGGGACCCCTCTGTACTATCCTTGCAACTTCTTCTGGATCTGTAGTTATTTCATAATTAAAAGGTTTGTTTGGAAGGCAAAGGGAGTGTCAGGGATATTTCATGGAACGCAAAGCAAAGAGAGCAACCCCTCTTCCCAATAAACAAGTACCATAAAGGCAACTTTGAATCATCTCCACCACCCATCCCCAGCCCCTCTGCAAAACTGCTGCCTTTCTCTCTCTTTGTAGACCACCATCCCTGCTGTAGACCACCAATCATCCCTGCTGTAGACCACCATCCCTGCTGTAGACCACCAACCATCCCTGCTGTAGACCACCAACCATCCCTGCTGTAGACCACCATCCCTGTAGACCACCATCCCTGCTGTAGACCACCAACCATCCCTGCTGTAGACCACCATCCCTGTAGACCACTATCCCTGCTGTAGACCACCAACCATCCCTGCTGTAGACCACCATCCCTGTAGACCACCATCCCTGCTGTAGACCACCATCCCTGTAGACCACCATCCCTGCTGTAGACCACCAACCATCCTGCTGTAGACCACCATCCCTGTAGACCACCATCCTTGCTGTAGACCACCAACCATCCTGCTGTAGACCACCATCCCTGTAGACCACCATCCCTGCTGTAGAACACCATCCCTGCTGTAGACCACCATCCCTGTAGACCACCATCCCTGCTGTAGACCACCAGCCTTGCTGTATACCACCAACCATCCCTGCTGTAGACCACCATCCCTGTAGACCACCATCCCTGCTGTAGACCACCATCCCTGCTGTAGACCACCATCCCTGTAGACCACCATCCCTGCTGTAGACCACCATCCCTGCTGTAGACCACCATCCCCGCTATAGACAACCATCTTTGCTGCTCCATGCCTGTGGCTGCCTCACAGCTGTGAAGCCCCATTGCCCTCTGGCAGCAGTGCTGGAATCCTCTGTAGTTGAGCCACAGAGAAAAACCTGCTAGTTCTCTCTTTGATTCAATTCAAAATTCCCAGAAAAACAAAATCAACCAGCCCTGTGTGGGTCGGGAACCTATGCCTTGTCCTATGGCAGAGGGTCACACAGCACAGACATGTCTGCCAACACAAACACCTTCACCACCCCCAATGAGG